CAAGATACAGATGTTACTTTTGAATAGCCCACCTGTTGACAGCTGCGGCACACAGGCTCTCGGTTGCAGGGTGCGGGGTCTTTGGCCAAAGTGTGCCGCGTCTGGATCCCTGAGCCCTGATCGAACCCTAACCCTCAGTAAGGAGCGCCGAGTCTCAGTCACGGGCCCAGCAGGGCCGCCCTCGGGTGTCACGTGTACATCCATGTGCCCCAGCCCTCCCCAGGTCGGTTCTCCTCAGGAAAGGAGGCTCCGCTATTCATTTCTTCAGCCACTGCTGTCTGTCGTGAGCTTCTTCGCTTCTGACACTTAAGACAGACACCACACTGGCCCTCAGCACAGTCCCGCCTCTACTGAATTGCCTTTCTGCGCTCTCTGCTGCATTCCGGAACATTCCCTCAGTGCTATACTCCGACTTCACATGTGGCCGCTCAGCTGTCTGCTTGACTGCCTGACTTTTTTTAAAATGTTGAATCTACTGGATTGTTCACGTCAAAACTGTTCGACTCTTTTCAGTAACTGCCTGTTCTTCTACGAAATAATCCACATGCTTGCCTCCCTTTATGTTTCTGTGAGGATGGGTCCCTCTCTGTGTCCACACGGGTGGACCTCCCTCTGACCCCGAGATGATCCCCGCTGCCGGGGCCACACCGCCTACCTCTCCCCGCTTCGCTGTGGTTCCCTCTCCATTTGGGGAACTTCTCTTCTGCACTTGTCTGTGGTTTCGTGTTGCAGAAACACTCTCCGGAGCAGGTCTCAGCGTCAGGAGCAGAGGAGGCTCTGGGTGGGCACCACACTCGCCCCCTTGGGTGCAGTCTGAGCCAGGAGCCCATCACGTCCACCCTCTCCTGTCACCTCGTCTGGAAATTAACCGTGATGACGGCAGCAAGAGCCCACAGCCCCTCTGAGGGCTGGGGTTCGGATAACATGCAGAGGAGGAAGCTCAGGCGCAGAGAAAGGGCACCGTCGCTCAAGGTCCCATGAGCAGCGGGCACACGTTTATAGGAACATCTGTTCCCACCAGAGTGAGAGCTCTGACCCCAATCAACACCCCCGAAAGCCTGCAGGTGATGGCAAGACCGGAGGAGCCTGTGCCCAAGGACCCCGGGGCCCCGAGGAGGCAGGAAGCCCCCGGGGGCTTGTTCCCAGGAAGGCGGGCTGGACAGTGATGGGGTAAAGAGAGACGCCCCTGAAGGGGGCTGTGATGGGGGATCCCCACTCCAGGGCAGGGGAGGAGTCAGTTTCCATCCTGATTCCCTGCGCATCTCCTCTGGGCTCTCGGCCACGCGGACTCAACTGAGCCCCAGGGAGACGCTGAACGTGCGTCCCTCATAAAGGACAGACTTGTGGACACACCGGGGAAGGAGAGGGTGTGAGGAATAGAGTAGCATGGAAACACACACAGAGCACGTGTGAAACACACCGCCGGGGGACGTGCCGTGTGACTCAGGAGCCCACACAGGCTTCTGTGACAGCCTAGGGGGGTTCAAGAGGGAGGGCCACGCGACACATATGGCCCATCCATGTTGATGTGTGGCAGAACGAGCACCATACTGTGAAGGAACCATCCTCCAATTAAAAAACGATGTGTCTCTGGGGATCTCAGCCCCAAGGGCAGCAGGAGCCAGCATCCTCCCGGAAGCATCTCCAGGGCCTGGTGACCCGGCCACAGTGAGGAACCCCAGGGACCTGCTGATGGAGGGGCAGAGGAGGAAGCAGACCCCGAGGCGAGGCTTGCAGAGGGAAGGAGCCTGGCCGTCCTCATCTGGAAGGGGCGTCTCAGGAACACACTGGGACTGTCATGGGGACGACACCAGGCTTTCAAGAAGAGGCTGTTCCCCTTCCTGCGGGGAGGCTGACATGACAACCGCGTGACAGGAAGCCCCAGCCTTGGAGAGGACACACCCTGTGCTCTGTCTCTCTGGAGGACACCCAGGTCTCCTCCATCCTCACGGCCTGGACCGCAGGGAGGAGACGCCATGGCCCCCACCCTCCCCGCCCTGCTCTGCCTCGGTGAGATGAGGAGGGGCAGGGGGAGCCCTGGACTGGAGGGACCCCCCACCCAGCCAGCCTGCTCCATCAGGGGACCCCAGGGCCCAGGAGGCTCCCGGGGACGAGAGGCGCTGCTCAGAGCTGAGGGCAGACCTCTCACAGGGCTCTCTCTTCCAGGGCTGAGTGTGGGCCTGAGGACCCAGGTGCAGGCTGGTGAGTCTGTCCCCAGGGCCCAGCTCTCTCCTCTCTTGGGGACAAGGGTCACCCCGAGGCCCTGAGGAGGGGAGGGCAGCTCAGGGCTCATAGAGGGGGAGTCTGGGAGGTCTGGGCTGAGAGCCAGGGCCTGGGGGCAGACCCCTGGTGAGCCCGCCTCTGATTTCCTTCCAGGGGCTCCCCCCAAACCCACCATCTGGGCTGAGCCGGGCTCTGTGGTCCCCTGGGGGAGCCCCGTGACCATCTGGTGTCAGGGGCCCCTAGAGGCCCAGGAGTTCCATCTGGATAAAGAGGGAAGCTCAGTCCCCTGGGACAGACAGAAACCCCTGGAGCCCGGGGACAAGGCCAAGTTCTCCATCTCACTGATGACTGAGCAGCACACAGGGCGCTATTGGTGCTACTATCTCAGGGGAATTCGCTGGTCAGAGCTCAGTGACCCCCTGGAGCTGGTGGTGACAGGTGAGAGACTCTCGGGGGCCTCAGGCTCTGCCCTCGGGAGGGGGTCTGCTCTCAGGGGGTGTCCCTCTCACAGCCCAGCCCTGGGCGGGGGGTGGAGGGGAGTCCTAGGGATCCAGCTGCCTCCTTCTCTCCTAGGACCTTACAACAAACCCAGCCTCTCAGCCCTGCCGAGCCCTGTGGTGACCTCAGGAGGGAACGTGACCCTGCAGTGTGGCTCCCACTGGGGATTTAACAGGTTCCTTCTGACCAAGGAAGGAGAAAATGAGTCCTCTCAGGCCCTGGATGGACAGCGGAGCCCGAACGGGCAGACCCAGGCCCTGTTCCCCGTGGGCCCCGTGAGCCCCGGACACGGGTGGACATTCAGATGCTATGGCTTTAACAGGGACACCCCCCAGGTGTGGTCGGCCCCCAGCGACCCCCTGGAGCTCCTGGTCTCAGGTGAGGAAGTCCTGACCTGACCCCACATTTGTGCAGACAAGACAACGTCCTGGGGTCTCTGCTCCCAGGGGAGCCCCGTGAGGAGGAGAGAGAGCGTGGTGGTCACAGGACAGACACACAGACAGAGAAGGCGAGGCCTGGGGCTGGGCCGGGAAGGGCGTCCATGGGGGACGCAGTCCCAACGACCCGGCACCTGTCTCTCCCCAGGGCTGTCTGGGAAGCCATCCCTCCTGACCCCGCAGGGCCCTGTCGTCACCTCTGGACAGAACCTGACCCTTCAGTGTCGCTCTGACATGGACTACGCCAGATTCGCTCTGTCCAAGGAGGGGGGACAGAACCTCCCCCAGCGACCTGCCCGGAGGGTCCAGGGGGGGCTCTCTCAGGCCAACTTCCCCCTGGGCCCGGTGGGCACCGTCCATGGGGGCCGGTACAGATGCTACGGTGGACACAGCCTCTCCTCTGAATGGTCGGCCCCCAGTGACCCCCTGGAGCTCCTGGTGGCAGGTGAGGGGCCAGCGGGTCAGTCGGGGGCCAGACTCTGCACAGGCCCCACCGGGGAGCCCCAGGGGTGATGCTGGGACCAGGGGGAGGGGTCCCAAGGAGGGGACAGCGAGACGGGGTGGGGGAGGGGGAGACTCGGAGAAACAGACGGCGCTGAGGGTCCAGAGAGGCGGCGGAGTCCCGCTCAGAACCAGGGCCGGGCCCGCACCCCCTTCCTCTCTGCAGGATGGCTCAGAGACAGACCCTCCCTCTCAGCACGGCCGGGCCCCTCGGTGGCCCCGGGGGAGAACGTGACCCTGCTGTGTCAGTCAGGAGACGGGACGGACACCTTCCTTCTGTCCCAGGAGGGGGCAGCCCATCGCCCCCTGCGTCTGCGCTCAACGTACCAAGACGGGCGGTTCCAGGCCGAGTTCTCTTTGAGTCCTGTGAGCTCGGCCCACAGGGGCACCTACAGGTGCTACCGCGCACTCAGCACAGAGCCCCACCTGCTGTCATGGCCCAGCGAACCCCTGGCGCTCCTGGTCTCAGGTCTGTCCGTCTGACTCAGCAGCTCGGGGCTCTGTGCCCTGGGAGTATGGGTGGTCTGCAGTGAGGGGGCGCTGAGGGAGGGGCCCCTTGAGGGAGGAGCCTCGGAGCCCGTGCCCCGCCCCTTCCTCACGCACTAGGGTCCCGGAGGGGCAGGTGGGCAGTGGGAGGGTCTCAGGGAGGCCATAGGGCCGTGCAGGGCAGAGGGGAGTGAGGTGGGGACCCCGGGTCAGCCCGGCCCACCCCTTCCTGGGCTCATTCCCAGGACCCATGGGCCCAGCCCCCACCCTCGGGCCCCAATTCAACAACTGGGGAGTCTCGGGGCTCTATGCTCAGGGGAGACAGCCTGCCCCAGGGCGGTGTGGGAGTTGGAAGATCTAATACCCACTCAGGTCATCAAGACTCACTGTGGGTGCAGCAGAGATGCTGAGGGGGCAACGGGAAACACAGGCTGCAGGGGCTCTGGGCTGCTGGGTGAAGGGCCATGGGTCGGTGGCCTCAGCCTGGGGGAGCAGGGCTGTGAAGGGGGGAAGCCCCACCCCACCCCCTTGCTGACCCCCAGGGGGCTCCAGGGATCAGTGCCCACCCTCAGTGGGTCAGGCCTGCAGAGAGGTGAGCAGGCTCTTGGGGAGGTGGTGGTAGGTCTGGGGGCAGGCTGACTCTGCTCCCGGCTCAGGCGCCTCTGGAGACTCTGATGTGGACCCCCTCACCCTCACCACACCCGGGCGTGGGCCTCAGCTTCTCCCAGTGTAAAAGGAGAGGCCTGTGGCCCAGACTGTAGATGTCCGGGTTCTGACCTGGGTGTGACCCCCATCGGGCGAGGAGGTGACTGTGGGACCTGTCCCCTCCGCTGCAGCGTGGTGATGGCATGTGGGGGGCACCCAGAGGCCCCTCACGCAGCCCGCCCCTCCCCCCGCCCCCGCTGAGGTGGGGGAGCGGCGGGGACCAGGGAGGACCCTCAGCTCCAGCTGAGACCCTCGGGCAGCCCCCTCAGGCGAGGGGCCCCCAGAGCAGGAAGCTGGTGTCCTCCTGGGGGCCAGCTCAGGAGGCGCTCGGGGCGCCCACGGCCCTGGTTCCAGTCCCGGCTCTGCCCCGTCCAGGCTGGGTCACCAGGGCCGTGATCTCCGTCTCTGTGCCTCAGTTTCCTCGCCTGTAAAATGGGTGGGATGGGTTGGAGATGGAGGCACAGACCCCAGCAGGAGTCCGCACCGAGCAGGTGCTCAGTCAAACGGCATCGCTGGCTCACTCAGACGTCTCTGGTGCCCCAGGCCTCACCTGGTACCCGAGTGTCCTCATCGGGGCCTCGGTGACCTTCGTCCTGCTGCTCCTGGTCCTCCTCTTCCTCTTCCTCCGACGCCGGGGTCGGGACAGACGCAGGAGCTCGGGTGAGTAGGGAACGGGGTGACTGGCTCCCTGGAGGCCTTAGGGCATCAGACAAAGGGAAACCTAGGACATGGGAACAGTCAGCTTAAATTTTTTTTTCCACAGTATGGAGGGTCCTTAAAAACTAAAAACAGAATTATCATATGATCTAGCAAATCCACTGCTGGGTATATGGTTGAATAAAATGAAAACTAATTTGAAAAGACACACACACAAAAAAGATACAAACATTCCAATATTCATATAGCCAATTTACAATAGCCAAGGTATGTCAGCAACACAAATGTCCAGCAAGAAATGAATGAATAGAGAAAATGTGGTGTGTGTGTGTGTGTCTGTGTGTGTGTCTGTGTGTGTGTATACCCACATATACATACAATGGAATATTACTCAGCCATAAAAAAAGAAGGAAACTCTGCCATTTGCTACAGCATACATGGACCTAGAGAGTATTATGCTTACTGAAATAAGTCAGAGAAAGGTAAATGTTTTATGATATCATTTGTACATACTGAATCTGGAAAATAATAGAAAGGAAAGTATATGAAAAACAGAAACAGACTCCTTGATAAATAAAAATAACTCATAGTTACCAGCGGGGGACGGGCAGAGGAGGGGTATGGACTAAGAGACACAGACTACTATGTATAAAATAAACAAGAAGGATACACTGGATAGCACATGGAATGTAGCAATTATTTTTTAATAACATTAAATGGAGTATAACCTATAAAAACAATGAATCATATGTTGTATGCCTGAAACTACTATATTACAAATCAACGATATTTCATTAAAAAATTTTTCCAGTTCTCAAATCTGAAAATCTAGTGGAAAAAAACACCCATTGTCAGCCCATGTGCACTAATTTAAGCCATTTCCCTCCTTCTCAACGTCATGAACTGAAACACGCACCACAAGCCCAGGCTGCCTCCTCTCCTCCTGAATCCCACGTGAAGTGCAGGGTCACCACCTCCCTGGGTCCGAGCCTCTGTCCTGGGACCCAGCCCAGGCAGAGGCTGATATCCAACCTCCCACAGGGGTTGCAGACCAAGGGCCTGAGGACAGAGGCCCACAGAGCAGGTAACTCCCGCCCCGACACCCCCAGAGGCCCCCATAGCACCCCACCTTCTCCCCGACACAGCATCTCCTCCTCAGCTCCAGCCCAGCCACGGACACCCAGGACCAGGCCATCTGTGAGTGGGAGAGGCGGCGGCCCGCGGCGGGGGGCACAGAGACTTCTGGAGGCAGTGGGGGGACGCTCAGAAGGGTGGGGGACCACACAGCACGCACCCCGGGGTGCAGGGCGGGGGCTCCAGCCCTGAGGCTCTCGGAACCCCGCCCAGCCATCCCCCTGCTCTGCTTCAGATGCTGCCGTGAGCGACACACAGTCTGAGGTGGGGCTGCAGCTGGACCATCGGGTGAGACCCCTGCTCCCGTCCGTCTACCACAGACCTCCTGGTGCCAAACTCAGCCTAGCACACGCGTCGCTGTGCTCACACCACAGCTCCAGCCCCCCCCACCCCGGCCCGTCCTTCCCGGCTCCCTGGGTCCTGCCGTGACCCCAGCCTCCCCTTGCCCTGTGACCTCACGGCCTCTCCTTCGGGGCGCCTTTCCCAGCTCCGTGTCCTCTGGCTGAACTTCTGGTGTGGGGGTGCAGCCCCAGGTCTCAAGAGGACGCGTGCATCAGTGGACTGCCCGCACGCCCCAGCCCCCCCTCCTTCACCCCCCAGCAAAGGGCGAGAGATAGTGGGCACCACCCCGTGGCCCTGCAGGTACTGCGGGCACTCACCTCGCGGTGAGAGGGGCCCCACGCCAACAAGCAGGCGGATCTCAGAATGCAAGGGCCTGACGAGGAAAGGAAATCACAAGACGGGACTGGGCACACGGGGTGGGCACTCGGTAGGAAGGCCCTGAGGCAGGAGGGACGCACTTTAGCAGGAAGACAGCCATGTGCCCAGGCAGATGAGCAGGAGGCCAGGGCTCAGACAGAAACCAGGGCCAGCCAAAGCACCCGGAGGCTCTCGGGCGTTAGGAGGCCCCTGGAGTTTCCATCAGGAGAGTGAGCTGACCTGACCCAAGGTTCCAAGCCTCATCTGGGCAGAGAGAGGAGCTGGCTGGAGGAGGGGCAGCAGGCCCAGGAGGCGCCTGTCCTGTCTCAAGGTCTCCCTCCAGCAGAACGGGTGGGAGGCAGACCCCCAGGAGGGGACGGGCGCCCTGTGAACCCCCGAGATCAAGACAAAGGCAGGAGGTGCCCGCCTCTCCTCCCGGTCGGGGGGATTCTGGGCAGGACAGACAGACGCACAGCACATGGGTCACTCCTCTCCTGGCCCCCAGGCGCCCCATCTCACACACCTTTCCCCCCACCCCGCAGGCTGCCACGTCCGAAGCTCCCCAGGATGTGACCTACGCCCAGCTGAACCACTCAACTGTCAGAAGGGGGACGGCCGCACCCCCCGGCCCCCCGGTGGGGGAGCCCCCAGCAGAGCCCAGTGAATACGCTGCTCTCGCCGTTCATTAGCCCAGGAAGGACCTGGACCCCAGGCTCCAGGGACCAGATCTCAGGGACCGCAGGAGGCACAGGAGCAGCCAGCAGTGGAGATCACCTAAAGACCAGCAGCCAGTCCCTGGGCTCCTAACAGATCACCTGGGGCCCCGGGACCCTTTCGGGTCAACCCTCAGAAGCAGCATCCTGGACCCCCGGTGGCCCAGCGGTTAAGAATCTGCCGGCCAATGCAGGGGGCGTGGGTCTGACCCCCTTGCTGCCAGACAGCTGAGCTGAGGGGCGTGGCCGCTGGTGAAGCCCTGTGCCCAGACCCGGTGTTCCTCGAGAGGAGCCAGTGCGTGAGCAGGCCGTGCACAGCCAGGCGCCAGCCTCCACTCGCCGCAGCCGGAGCGAGCCCACACGCAGCAGGGAAGACCCAGCACAGCCGCAAATAAACAGGTCACTAAAGACTGAACGGCGTGTTTCAGTTTCCTTAAAAAAGATAATTGATATCCTCATATTTTATAAAGAAGGCAACAGACTTCTCAGTTATCAGTGATTTTGAAAAAGATCAGCAAATTACTCCAAATGAAGGCAGGAAGAGGGAAACAATGACAAGGGCAGCTACCACTGAAGGCAGACAAAAAGGAGAGGAACGTCAGAAAAGCCAGACAGCGCCATCCCTTAGAACGTGGGTCACACTTACACGTCCTAGGCACAATGAGCAAGTCTAAAAGAGAAGGCGTCGCTTTACCGTCGCCAGGACACTACGGCAGGTCCTTCAGACTTTACAAAGACAAGCACTTCACGCAAGGACAGCTGTATGCTGTTATAGTAGAAAGTGTAGATGGCACAGACCAAAACTCTCAGCACGCAAGGACAGCTGTATGCTGTTATAGTAGAAAGTGTAGATGGCACAGACCAAAACTCTCAGCACGCAAGGACAGCTGTATGCTGTTATAGTAGAAAGTGTAGATGGCACAGACCAAAACTCTCAGCACGCAAGGACAGCTGTATGCTGTTATAGTAGAAAGTGTAGATGGCACAGACCAAAACTCTCA